CTTAAGATGGCTCACAATTCTGTAACTTCAATTCCAGAGGATCTGATACCTCTGGCTTCTGAGGGCACCAGGCACAAATATGATGCACATACATATATGCAGGCAAAACATTTATACACATAAAGTAAAAATAAGTAAGTCTTTAAAAATATTTTTAAAACAAACAAAAACTGGGCATAGGGGCACAGGCCTTTAATCCCAGCACTTGGGAGGCAGAGGCAGGTGGATCTCTGAGATCAAAGCCAGCCTGGTTTACATAATGAGTTCCAGGCCCACTGGGGCTACAGGGAGACCCTGTCTCAAAAAATCAAAAACAAAAACAGGGCTGGGGAAGAGATGACTTAGTGGTTTAATAGCACTGGCTGCTCTTGCAGAGGACCTGGGTTCAGTTCCCAAAACTCACATATTGTCCAACAATTATCTATAACCTCAGTTCCAGGAAATCTGACATCCTCTTCTGACCTTCATGGGTATTGTATGACTTATATACATGCAGGCAATACAATCATACACATAAAATAAAAAAAATTAATAAAATTTACAGAAAACCAAAAATAAAGCCAACACTTGGGAGGCAGAGGCAGGCAGATCTCTACGAGAGCGAGGCCAGCCTGGTCTACATAGTGAGTTCCACGCCAGCTGGGGCCTCTGTCTCAGAAAGAAAGAAAAAAGAAAACCCTGTAAGAACCCCCAAAACCAAAACCAAAATCAAAAACCAAAAGTAAAATAAACAAGTCAATGTTGGGCCAGCAAGATGGATCCCTTGACCGTTTAGAGGTGGAAGTAGAGAACTGATTCCACAAAGGTGTCTTCTGACCTCCACATCCATGCCGTGACACATGAACCCCCTTCAACAATAATAAGTAGAACAATTTAATGTTATAAAAATTTCAGAGGAGTAAAAGAGCAGGACAAATAGGTCCACACATAATCCAGGATGTTCCTTTGTTCTCAGAGACACTGTTGGGCCATAAACAAGTGGTCAATCAAGTCCACAACCAAGTGACAGGATCAATAATGCTGAGTAGGCATTATTGTGTAGGCATGTATGGCTCGGTAGGACCACACACACTGACGTATTGAGGGATGAGGGGGTATTGTGTCTGTACCAGAAAAATATAACTGGAGAAGATAAAATGTTAACATCTGGGAAATCTGCAAAGCTAAAAAATGAGTTATTGTCAGAATTATTATTTTCCATGTGGGACCAACCCAGGCCCTTGTGCATGCTAGGCAAGCACTCAACAACTGAACTGCACCCCTAGCATTCTTGTTGAAATTACATCATTAATTTTTTTTAAAAATTGCCCAGGCCTGCCGGGCATTATGATCCACGTCTTTAATCTCAGCACTCAGGAGGCAGAGGCAGGGGAAGTCTCTGTGAGTTCCAGGACAGCCTGGTCTACATAGTGAGACCTTCAAAACAAACAAATAAGAAATTGTCACGGCTAGGAGACAAGACAATCATAAAGAGCACAGACTCCGGAATGGGTCAGAGTTAGATTTTACCCCTGAGCCTCCCACTCAATAGCTCTGTGGTCTTCAGTCATCTGTGTGTGGTGAATGGCAAGTGACCACCTGGTTTGTCCAGTTGGGTCACTGGGGATTCATGAGCTAATGAACAGGACAGCACTTTGCAAAACTTAGTGAGCCAGGTTCAACGCACAATGAAATCTCATTTTCCTGAGGATGACATGACGTCTCAGCTGTCCTCCTTCTGGAAAAGGAACCATGTTGGATGCTATGAGGAAGGGTCTGGGGGCCTCGTGGTTGCTTTCTTTCTTGGGAATTTGTGCACATGCAGGATTCTCTGGAATCTCGTGTTCCCACAGCTGTCATCAATTTTACAGTTGGGCTTTTCAGGGCCGGGGGGTGTAGCTTAGTGGTAGAAAGCTTACCCAGCATGTACGAGGAGACCCTGGCTTTAATTTCTGTCATTGCAAGACCTGCCCCTCCTTTCCGGTAAAGAAAGTCAGATATATATATATATATATTTTCATGTCACATTTTATCATACCATTAAAAAAAAAAGATGATTTAGAGAATTTCCCACCAGCATTTAATAGTCATATGACATTTTGGATGGCGAGAGGGAAGTCTCAGCTTACTGTTCCCCTATTGTTGACCATTAAGGTTACTTCTAATTCTCACTACAGCAACAGCACCTCACAAATTCCTGCCCACACACAGTTTCGTATTCCCTCTGTCTCTTAGGCAAGGTCCTGGTCAATAGGCTTACTGGATCAAGGGGTAGAAGCCAAGAATTTTCTGCAAGGATTAATTCAGTTTACAATACCAATATGAAGCAGGACATGTCAGCTTCACAAGGTTTTCCACATGCGTGTTTTCCTTACTTTTTCTCTTTTGATTTATTAAAACATGGAACCATATTATTATACCAATTCTTAATAACTTAAAAAAGACTAATTTTATTCTTTTTAATTATGTATATGTGTGTGCATCTCTGTGTGTGTGTGTGTGTGTGTGCATGGATACAGTGCCTGTAGGGTCCAGAAGAGGGCATCAGGTCCCCTGGAGCTGGAATGACAGGCAGTTGTGAGCTGCCTGGCATGTGCTCGGCAGTGAACTTGGGTCCTCTGTAAGGGCAATACATTCTCTTACCTGCTGAGCCATCTCCATCTCCAGCCCCAACCTCCAACTTGACATGTAGCTGTAGCTAACCTTAAACTCTGGATTTTTCTGTCCAGTGCTAGGATCGGGTATGTAACCATCACGCTCAGCTATTTTTTTTTAATTTTATGCGTCGGAGTGTTTTGTCTAAATCAAAGCACACCATGTTCATGCAGTGCCCACAGAGGCCAGAAGTGGGCACCAGATCTCTTGGAATTGGAGTTAGCTGCCTTGTGGGTGCTGGGAACCCAGGGTCTCTAGAAGAACAGCCAGTGCTCTTAACCGCTGAGCCACACGTAACTATTCCTAAAAACTCTTTATAGAGAAAACCACTGTTTTGTCAGTATTTTAAAATAATTTTCAAGGCTGTAAAATTTGAAGAAGAGGGTTGATTTTTTTAGTAGTCTGAAATGATCAAAAAGTGGATAATCGGGTAGTCTATGTCTGGAGGTGAAATTTCTTACATCAATAGATTCTTCAGCAGCAATAAGCTAATACTCCAAAGAATACACTGGGGAGTCCTTAGCAACCAGTGTGGGAGGATACGGGTCATAATGAACCTGTTGGACAGGTTTTACCCATTCTTTTAAACACAGCCTTCCCTAGCATCACAGAAAACTTTCCTAGAGGGTCCCCACTGAGAAGTGAACAGTAACAACTCTGAACTCAGGTTGCCTAGGAAATCCATTTTCTGTGTGAGCTGTGCCAGGCTCTGTTTTATCACTTAAAAATACATTGTACTCTCGGACTGGAGATATGGGTCAGCAGTTAAGAGCATGTACTGCTCTTCCAGAAGCTCTGAACTCAGGTTGCCTAGGAAATCCATTTTCTGTGTGAGCTGTGCCAGGTTCTGTTTTATCACTTAAAAATACATTGTACTCTAGGACTGGAGATATGGGTCAGCAGTTGCATGTACTGCTCTTCCAGAACACTGAAGTTCAGTTCCAGCACCCACGTTGTGTGGCTCAAAACCACCTGTAACTCCAGCTCCAGGGGCTCGATCCTTGGGTACACACAGGTACGGTACCCCCACACAGACACATACTCATAAGTGAAAAATAAAAATTAATTTTAAAAAAAGAACAGAGGAAAAGAAAAGAGATTCTTGCAAAGAAAAGTCCAGCTCTGTTCCTTTTCCAGTACCCATGACCTCCTGTGTTCACCCTGCTCATCCCAACTTGCCACTGAGGACAGACGGTATCTGACAGTCTGACAGAGTCCTGGTCGGTCTGGTGACATGCTGGAGGGGAGGGAGGAAGGGCAGCCCCTTTCTCAAGGGGTCTTGCAGCATCTGAGGCACTGTGAGAGTGACATGCTGCAAAGATTTTGCCCTGACCATGTAGGAAGTGGGGTCTTTTCTTTCTTGCAGACCTACTGGCCTCCTTCCAGTGGCCGTGAGACTGGTCAAGTGACTCTTTTCAGCTTTGCCTCCCGTGACACCCAGGTGACCTGTCTCTCTCCCAAAGTGCTGACTACCCTCTTCAGCCTTGGAAAGCAGTCGGGTTTTTAATAGAATGGAACTATAATTAGGGCAGTCTTGGGTCCTCTGATCTGAGCCAAGGAGAAGAGGAAATGGCCTTAAGATGCCTGCCGTGGGTTCTGCATGGGGCACAGAATTTCAAACTCCAAAATGACACAGGGCAGGGCTGGTGTCTGGGTACAGCTCACTTGCTGACACGTTTGAAAGCAGGGCAGGGCAGGGCAAGGCAAGGCCTTGGGTTTCTGTATTCTGGGAGACTCCAGACAGCTGACAGCCCTTGTCCAGACCAGTCCTTTGCTACTGATCTCACTCAGTCTTAGAGATCCTGAGGTCTAGACAGTCAAGACTACGTAGTCTAAGAGAAAAATGCAGGAGGAGCTTGGGGCCTGAAGTCTGTAAATGATCAGGCAAAACTGTTTTAAAAGGTAGACCTTGTTTTTTTGTTTGTTTGTTTTTAATAATTGAGGTATTGTGGGCTTGGGAGTGGATGGATGTACACACCCACTACAGTATAGGTTTGCTAGAGCAGACACCTAGCTCACCTCCCACCCAGCTTGGGGATGGGCGCTTCTCCCCATGGGGAGCGGGTACAGGGTGTGGTCCCCAGAGCTTTCTAGGTGGCCCATCCCCAAGGGCAAGCTCTGCTCCCCACCTTGATGGGAGGCTCTGGCTGGGGCAGGCACAGAGATGATCGGACAGTATCCCCTCTCCAACCTCTTGAACCAGCCGGGAATCCTTCTTCCATGGTTCAGGGCTGCCCTATGGCACGGCTGCCCGTAGGGCACGTCCTAGACGGTGGGTGTACAGTGCCACAGAGCAGCAGGCAGGGTAGGGGCGAGTGAGCCTGGATCTGAGAGCTGGAGGGAAGGCCCCAAAGTCTCCTACTCACCTGACAACGTGGAAGACCCAGAGTAGGCGGTCTGAGCCGGGACCACGCGTGGAGCGGACGATGCTGAGGTACAGGTAGAGGGCAATGGCCACCGTCCAGAAGAAGGAGCTGGTGTTGGCGAAGGTAGAGAGCGCACCCTGCAACACGCAGTCCCACGAGGAGCCCGCGAAGTCCCGCAGCACCCCATAGAAATACGAGGAGGCCGACAGCAGGTCGGCCAGGGACAGGAAGAGCAGCAGGCGCCGTGCCGGGCTGCGCAGGTCTGGCCACAGGGCGTGCGTGGCCACCAGGAGTCCCGAGCCCAGCGCGGACAGCGCGCAGGACAGCAGCACCACGGCGCGCTCCGACGGCAGCAGCGTGGTGGGCGGCGCAGGCGGGGACATGGCCGGCTGGGGGCCAAGGGCATTCGGCCAGGGCGCCCCCGCGCAAGGGCGCCGGGAGGTCGAGGCTGCGGCCGCCGCCGTCTGGACATCAAGGCGTTCGAGGCTCGCGTCCTCGCTCGCGCCCGTCCCGCCCGCGTCCCAACCCCGCCCAGCCTATCGGATATGCGGCCGCGCCCCTGAGCCCTCCACGTCCCGCGCCGTGGCCCCAGGCTCGGCTCCCACGTGCCACCTCTGAGCGCTCCACGCCCCGCCCCTGATCTCCCCACGTCCCGCCCTGATGTCGCCTCTTCGGCCCCTGAGCCTCCCACGTCCCTCCCCTGCGCTCTCCACACCCCGCCCCTGCGCTCTCTACGCCCCGCCATGGTCTCTCCACGTCCCGCCCCGGTAGCCCCAGCGCCCGGCTCCCGCGGTCCGGTGCCTGAGCTCTCCATGCTAATCCCTAAAGTCTCCACGCCCGCGCCTGAATCCTCCACGCCCTGCTCGGGTAGCCCCCAGCGCTCAGCTCCAATGTGCCACCTCTGCCCTCTCCACGCCCCGCCCCTGCGCCCGCCCCCTGACCTCTCAGGGCCCCGCCCCTGACCCCCCCCCCCCCGCCCGGGAGGCCCGGCCCCCGCCCCTTCCAAACTCCTCCCTCTGGCCACCACTCGCGCCTTTTCCCCGCACCCCACCCCATGCACATTTAGCGCCAAGCTCTCGCGTTTTCCCATGCTTCTGCGCCCCTGTACGTCCCTCTTTCCCGGTAGCCTCCCGGGCCCAGTCCCAGGATCCAAGCCCAGTCCTGCATTCCACCACCTGGGCTACCCCTTGCTCTTGCCAGATGGCTGGGACATCTCGTCCTGGGCGGGTGGGAGGAGTGACATTTTTAGAGCTAACGTTACTTTCCTTCCTTTCAGCCTGCTTACATGTGTACCTGGGCGGGGGTAGTTGGAGACATTCTTTCCACTGCTGACAAAAACAACCCCAGTGTGTGATCCACATTCCTGAAACCACGGTACTCACAGTGCTCACAGGTCTGGTGGTGACTTGGGGGAAATTTCGAACTTTGGTTACATGATCATATTGTTTTTGTGCTGCTGGGGATGGAGCTCAGGGCTTCACAGGTCCCAGGGAAGTGTTCTACTATTGAACTACATCCTCAGCTCATAGCTTTTAATGTATAACTCATTAGGATGGTTTTAAAGAAAGGAAACATTGGGGTTGGGGACATGGCTTAGTGCATAAAGGCACTTGCTACACCACACTGACAATCTGAGTTTGTTCCCTGGGACCCACCTGGGGGAAGGAGAGAGCCGACTCTGGAAAGTTGTCTTCTGAACTCCACATGTGCACCATGGCACACTTATATCCACATACATAAACACCCACACATGCTAGATAAATAAATGTAATAAAAAATTTTAAGGAAAAAAATAAATGAAATACTAGTTCTCAATTTACACTTCTTTTTCTTGTTTGAAAATTTTTATATTTTTCAGGGATGTAGAGATGGCTCGGAGGTTACGTGCTGCATTTACAGAGGACCCAAGTTCAGTTCCCAGCACCTATGTCAGGTCGCTCACAACCACCTTTAACTCCAGCTCCAGAGGGATTCGATGTCCCTGGCCTCCTCAGGCACCTGCACTTAAGTGCACATACCCCCACACCGACACATAAACACATACACATGATTATAAAGAAATCTTGGGGCTGGAGAGATGGCTCCGAGGTTAAGAGTGCTTTCCGGTCTTCTAGAGGTCCTGAGTTTGATTCCCAGCACTTACATGGCAGCTCACAACCTCCCGTAACTTCAGCTCCAGGGGATCCAATGCTCTCTTTTGGCCTCCATAGGCACCTGCACACACATGGCATACGTGCACATGGACATTAGAAAAAAAATTAAACTTTTTAAAATATTTTATTATTTTTATTTTATGTGTATGATGTGTGTAAGTGCACCGGTGTCATGCAATGCCTACAGAGGTCAGAAGAAGGCGTCAGATCCCCTGGACCTGGAGCTAACAGAAGGTCATTAACCACTATGTGGATGCTGGGAATCCAACCCTGGTCCTCTGCAAGAGCAGTCAGTACTCTTAACCGCGGAGCCATCTCTCCAACCCCAATTTAAAAATCTTTAAATAGAAAAGGTTGTGGTTTTTATTGTGGTGTCAGTCATAGAACATTAGCCCTCTTAACTGTATAAGTCGCTAGGCTTCGGTGTATTCGCTTGTCTGGCCATTTTCTAATTTTATGGCATTTCCTTCACCCTCAGCCTTGGCTGCTTTCTCCTGTTCTCTGGCCCAAACCTGGTAACCACTGATCTACCTAACCTTTCTATTCTGGATATTTTGTATGGAGGGGATGATAGAGCTCGTGGCCTTTGGTGTCTGGCTTCTTTTGCTTGGCATGATGTTTTCAAGGTGCATCCAAGTTGCAATGTGTCAGTACTCCATTCCTTCTTAATGGAGGTTATATTCTGCTGTGTGGCTCTGTCCTGTTTTACCTCTCGACTTAGCTGGTGGAAACATTTTTCTGGCTATAATGAATAGTGCTGCTACCAAAACGAAGGTAGAAATGTGTGGGTGGACATGTGTTTTCAGGTCTCTTGGGTGTATGTCCAGGAGCGGAATTGCTGTGTCATAAAGTAAGGAGCTATATTTGGCGTTGTGAGAACTGCCTGACTGTTGTCCCAAGTACCTATGCCATATTAGTCCACTAGCAACACATGAGGGAAGGTTCTGATTTCTCCAAATAAGTTTGTGGTTTTTAAAGATTATCTTATTTGTAATCATGTGTATGTGTCTGTACGTCTGTGTGTGAGTGTGTATGTGAGTGCGGGTACCTGAGGAGGCCAGAGATGTGAGATCTCCTGGAGCTGGAGTTACAGTTGGTCGTGAGTCACCTGACGTGGGTGCTGGGAATCAAACCCAGGTCCTCTGGAAGAGTAGTAAGCATTCTTAACCACTGAGTCATTACTCTAGCCCTTGTTTTATTTGTTGTTGTTTTGGTTTTTTGGGGGGGGTCTTTTTGAGATAGGGTCTCCCTGTAGCCACAGCTAGCCTGGAACTCACTATGTAGACCAGGTTGGCCTTGAACTCACAGAGATGAGATCCACCTGCCTCTGCCTCCCAAGTGCTGGGATTAAAGGTGTGTGGCACCACGCCCAGCTGTTTTGTTTGAACAGGGTCTTATGTAGTTCAGGACTGGCCTTGAAGATGAGGATAGCCTTGAACTTTTTATCTTCCCTTCTCTACCTCCCAAGTACTAAGACTACAGGTTTGCTTCACCAAACCCTTTCTATACACATGTGCACGCGTGCGCGCACACACACATACACACACGCACACACACACACACACACACACACACATTTTGAGACAGAGTCCCTCTATGTATACCAGGTTGGCCTCGAACTCACAGATAGCTGCCTGCCTCCTGAGTGCTGAGATTAAAGGTGTGCATCACCACACCTGGCATCTATAGAAAAAAAATGTATGTCCTTTAAAAAAAAGTTATGTGTGTGTGTGTGTGTGTGTGTGTGTGTGTGTGTGTGTGTGTGCAGGTCAGGGTATGGTAGTCAGAGGCCAACTCACAGGAATTGGTGCTCTCCTTCCACTGTGTGTTCTAGGGGTCAAACTTAGGTCGTCAATCTTGCTTGACAAGTGCATTTACCCACTGAACCATCTCACAGGCCCATGCCCAGTTCTATGGGGTGCTGGGGATGGAACTTAGGGCTCTGTGCAAGCTAGACAAGCACTTGAGCAACTGAGCTACATCCCCAGTCCCTCAGCACTTATCTTTATGGTTACAGCCCTAGCCCTGAGTGTGCGTGGAGGCTCTGTGGTTTTCACTTGCATTTCTCTAAGAGCATCTTCCCCTTCCTGAGAGCTTCTGTGACATTTGCATCTCCTGCGTCTCTTGCTTATCTTTAAATTTGACTTTTTGTTGTTAATTTGTAAGTTTTTAAAAATATATTTCTTTGTCAGGTATTTGTTTTATGTGCATGGGGCTGAGGTGGGTGGGTAGGTACCATAATGCAGGTGAAGGTCAGAGGACAACTTGTCACAGTTGGTTCTCTCCTTTCACCATGTGAGTCCCAAGGATTGAACTCAGATCGTCAGTTTTAGCAGCAACCAGCTTTACCCACTAAGCCATCTCACTGGCCCTTTTTATGGTTTTGATTTACATCTCCTTGATTAGTGATGGTGAGCACTTTTGTGTGTGTGTGTGTGTGTGTGTGTGTGTGTGTGTGTGTGTGTGACAATGTGCATGTGGCCATCAAAGGTCAACTTTCTGGAGTCAGTTCTCTCCTTCCACCATGTGGGTCCCAGGGATCACTCATCAGGCTTGGTGACAAGTCCCCTTATCCACTAAGCCATCACCCTAGCCCCCTCATTTTTGTTTGGTTTTGGTTTTTTTGGTCCTTTTGAGACAAGGTCTCTCTGTAGCCTCAGCTGGCCTGGAAGTCGCTCTATAGACAAGGTTGGCCTTAAACTCACAGAGATCCACCTGCCTCTGCCTCCTGAGTTCTGGGATTAAAGGCGAGTGCCACCACTCCTGGCTAAACTAATACACATATCAAAGTGCCTGAAACATAACTGTTCAGTTTAATAAATAACTTAAGGCAAATGTCTATACATAGCAAGAAACACATCATTAGCAGTTTGCCACATGCTTCCCTAAGTCTCTTTCTTTCCCCATCAGGGTTTTTTTGCTTTTTTGTTCTATCTGCTATTGATTTGTGTGTGTGTGCGTGTAAAGTGTGTGTGTATGGTGTGTACACAGGTGGATGTGTGAGGGTGTGCTGTACTTTCGGGGAGGCCAGAGGAGGACACTGGATGTCCTGCTCCATCACATTCTGTCTTATTTCCCCGACCAGGGTCTCTCATTGAGTCTGGAGCTAGACTGGCAGTCAGCAAGTCCCAGAGATCTGCTTGCCTCTGCTCCTTCTGTAACAATGCCCTGGTTTGTTTTCGTTTTGTTTCTATTTTTAAATGTTTATTTTATGTGTATGAGTGTTTTGCCTACATGTATGTGCATCCCATGCCTGTCTGGTGCCCAAGAGGCCAGAAGAGAGTGTTGGATCCCTTAGAACTGGAGTTACAGACAGTTGTGAGCTACCATATGGGTGCTGGGAACCGAACCCGGGTCCTCTAGAAGAGCAGCCAGTGCCCTTAACCACTGAGCTGACTCTCCAGTCTTGTTCTTGTTTGTATTTTGAGACTTGGTCTCACTATGTAGCTCAAGCTGACACCAAACTTTCTTTCTTTATTATTATTT